CTCCTGCGAGGCATTTCTACTTACAGAATTTCATCTGATCCTTTCCTGACCGCGTGGCAGATGTTACTACCACCTTAGGGATAAGGAACAGGCCCTGAGCAGTTAAGGGATTTGCTCAAAGTCACCATGGCACAGAAACCCACAGCCTGCTGCCCCTGCACCCAGACCCCTTCCACCCTCACCCTCTTTGGGGCCTGTACACGTTTCTGCACTCAACTCGGGTGCATCCAGAGACCCCCTTCTTATGTACAGAGCTCTCCCTGGGCTTGCCTGCAGGATAAATTCAAGCTCCCTAACTTCCCATTATCTGCACTCACAGTTCTCAGAATCCAAAAATATTGGTTTTAATAGAGCCTGTAAATAACATCTAGTTCTGTGTTCAGTCTTTCAAAATCATTGACACCTGCTGAAACTGTGGACCTTCTCCCCAGAAAAATGCCTATAGTACAAACATCCAAAATATGGCATGCCATTTCAAAGGGGTCACAGATCCCCAGACTACTGTTAAGAATTGCAGACCAAGGGTGGCAGTTCCTCAAAAAATTAAGCATAGAATCACGATATGATCCAGGAATTCCACCTCTGGGTTTATACCCAAAGAATTGAAAGTAGGGTCTCAAACAAATATTTGTACACCCATGTTCAGAGCAGCACTATTTGTAATAGCCAAAAGGTGGAAACCACCTAAATATGTCCATCGACAGAAGAATAAATAAAGAAAATGTGGTATACGCATACAATGAAAAATTATTCAGCCTTGGGGCCGGCCCGGTGGTGCACTGGAGTGTGCTGCTTGGGAAGCACGGTGGCGCTCCCGCCCGAGGGTTCGGATCCTACATACAGACCGGTTCCCGCTCACTGGCTGAGCGAGGCGCGGGAGCAACACCGAGGGTTGCAATCCCGTTGCTGGTCCCCGGTCCGGTACGGGGGCAACACTGAGGGTTGCGATCCGTTGCCGGACACGGAAAAAGACAAAAAGACAAAAAAAAAAAAAAAAAAATTATTCAGCCTTAAGAAGGAATGGAATCCTGTCACGTGCTACAACATGAATGAACCTTGAGTTGACTGAACGTTATGCTAAGTGAAATAAGCTAGACACAAACAGAAAAATATTGTATGATTCCACTTACATGTGATACCTAGTAAAAATGAAGAGACAGAAAGTGGTGGTTGCCAGGGGCTGGGCGAGGGGAAATGGGGAGTTAGTGTTTGATGGGTACAGAGTTTCAGCTTGGGAAGATGAGAAAGTTCCGGAGATGGATGGTAGTGATAGTTGCACAACAGTGTGAATGTACTTAATGCCACCGAACTGTACACCTAAAAATGGTTAAAATGGTAAATTTTATGTTATGTATGTTTTGTCAAAAAGAAAAGAATTGCATATGGAATGAACCCCTTACTTCGCACATGAGGATGCTGAAGCCAGGACCAGGCCAGGCCTCCTTGTTCCAGGGCTGCTCGCCCGGCCCTCTAGGCTAGGCAAGCTCTGGACAAGTTGCTAAGGGAATGACTGTGTCTCCTGCTGAAATCCTAGTGCACAAGGCCACAGGGAGAGGTGCATCAGAGCTGCACAGGACGGGGTACAATGTTTACATGAACGTCATCTATTGGCTTTGTAACCCTCACATGCAGTTACCCAGGATGACCTGTTCTCTAGTAAAAGCAGCATTTGGGAATGAGATTGTGCCATCCAATGGGGTTTCAGGACAAATTATGGTAACGATAGATCTTACTGATACCATTTCATAACTACATCACATGAATCTGGAAGGATGGGTTTGGACTTTCCTTTTTGTAGAGGTTTATTGAAGATACAATTAAACCTCATCAACCAAAATTACCTCTGTTAACATTTTGGTCCACAGCCATCTGTTTGTCCGAGGTTGAGTGTGTGCAGAAGCGAAGGTAGGGAGGAGAACCATAGCACATGAGCTATTTGGTAACCAGTTTTATCATACAACATGCATCATGAAAATCTCTTCATGTCACCAAATATTATTCTATAGCATCAACTATGATGGCTGCCAAGTAATTCATTTTATAGACATAGTAACTAAATCCCTATTGCAGGAAACAGATTAGGAGTTTTCACTATTACTTAGAGTACAGCAGTGATTATCCCATACATGTCTATCTCATCTTCTTATAAATTCCTAGAAGCCAATGGATAAATGGCTGAACATTGTTAGGATTTTGATTTAGAGTATACTTTAGGAAGTCTGTATCTATTCGATGTGTGAAGTTATCAGTGTAATTCTAAACTGCCCATTCATCCGCTCTCACCACCAAAGATTATACTATGTTTACCAACTTTACAATTTAAAATTGTAATTTAATTTTTATAATTAAAATTTTCACTATTTAAATCTATATTTGATGTGTTCATTATGTGATTAGACTTATGTGATTCTTAGAATTTATGAAGTCTCTTCATATCCTGTGCTTGTATACAGTGCGCCTCATCTTGATTACTAAGTGTATTTTCACATTGTCTGTCATATATTTTATGTTATCCCCATGTCATTAGTGCTATTTTTTTAATGTGAAAATCTCATATTTTAATAAATCAAGTCTAGAAATGTATTCCTTTGTGGTTTAGATATTAATTTTGTCACCAATCATTTTATTAATTTCCCTTATTCTAAATTATTGTTCAATTGCTTCTCTTGGGTGTTACTGCATGAGAAATGGATCTCATATTTTTTTTTGTCTTAATACATGGCTAGAACTTGTGAAATTATGTTAGCCACAAAGGAATATTAGTGATAATAATTATTAATTACATTAATAATAACTGCTCTGAGCAGAGTACAGAATACTGAGGCAGCGCTTTGGCGGAACATTAACCTAGAGTTGGGGGTCAGGCAAGACTTTTTAGACTGTAAAATCTGAAAGGACTGAGGCTTTTGTCATGACACTTCACACCTGGAAATCTTTAGGTTTGATAAGGTATGTATGTACATCCACCTTTCTCATCTCCAGGTACCCTGGCTAGTCTTGGCTCTCTGCACTTCCATACAAATTTCAGAATCACCTTGTCAGGGTCCACAAAAGAACTTGGGATTTTTATTGGTATTTTTAAAAGTGAGCCTTCTTATCCATAAACAAGGTATTTCTCTAATTTGGGTCTTCTTTAATGTCTTTCAAAAAGACTTCATTATTTTCTCCAGAATGTCTTGTATATAATGTGGTAGATTATTCTCAGGTGCTCAATGTTTATAATGCTATTGTAAATGGTATTTTTTTATGGCTTTTTAAAACATTTTTACTGATTTATAGAAATAAGGTTGATTTTGTACATTGATTTTGTGTCTAACAACCTTAACTCTTACAAAACCTAACAATTTGTATGTATCTTCAGGTTTTTTACAATCATAATCTGAGAATATTTCCCATTTCTCTTTAAAAATTTTATTAAGGTATAATTTACATATCATAAAATCTACCCATTTTAAATGTACATTTGAATGATTTTTGGTAAGTTTAGTAAGTTATGCAACCATCGTAGTAATTGATTTAGAACATATTCAGCTTTCTTTTCCATGTCTTATACCTTTTTCATTTGACCCTACTGCACTTGCTAGAATCGTCTGTGTAATTTTGAACAGAGGGAGGGTGGTGAATATTACTGCTAATTCCTAAAGAGGAAGGTTTCCTATGTTTTACCTCTTGGTATAAGCCTTATTTTTTATTTTGTTTTGTTTGAGATAACCCCTCCATATAGAAGTTTCCTTGTATTCCTAGTTTGATAAGAGTTTTATGTTTTGGGCCAGCCTGGTGGCGCACTGCTACAGTGCGCTGCTTGGGAAGCGTGGTGGTGCTCCCGCCAAGGGTTCGGATCCCACATACAGACCGGTTCCCGCTCACTGGCTGAGCGAGGTGCGGGGGCAACACCGAGGGTTGCGATCCCGTTGCCATCCCGGTCCGGTACGGGTGCGACACTGAGGGTTGCGATCCGTTGCCGGTCACGAAAAAAGACAAAAAGGAAAAAAAAAAGAGTTTTATGTTTTAATCTCGAATGAGACATTGGAATTCCATCAAATGTTTTCTGTGTCTAGTGAGATGACCATACGCATTTCCCTTAAATGAAGGCAATTTCTAACTAGACTCCCTGCCTTGGAGGGTGCTCTGGGTTGTTTCCTGCCCCCTGAGCTCCAACAGACCGGAAAATCCACACTCAGGTTAACCTGGTCCAGCAAATTTCTTCTAATTGAAACTGGTTTCAATACTCTTCTTCCCTGTCTGTTCTCATCTTTGCACTTGGCCTGCATAATTGTTCTTTTCTTGCCATGTATCTGTGTAGGGTTTGTCCCATTGTGTTCCGTGGTGTTAGTTGTTCTCACTGGGAGAGTTGGTCCACATCCCAAGTTCATTACAGAGTGTGGTTCCTATACTACTATTGTGAATGGATTTTTTTTGTCCATGACATTTTCTAACTAGTTATTACTAATAAATTGGGTGGTAATTGATTTTCATACATTCGTTCTGTCACCATTTTATTAATCTCCCTTATTTATTAATTCTAAATCACTGTTCAATTGCTTCTCTTGGGTGTTAGTACATGAGATATGCATCTCATTCTTTTTTCTTTTCTTTTAATACATGGTTAATTTCAATTGCTCTTTTTCTGGTCAGGTGGCCAAAGGGCTGAAAAGACTCATGGAACACAAGTGACTCACGCTTCCCAAAGAAACAGGAACTGTTCTCCCTCCTAGACAGGTTAAGGTTACAATGCAATTGCCTTCACTCATTTTGTTTTGGAGCCAGAATTCACTGCATACTCTTAGATAGGACCTGAATTTTACTGCTGTATATTTTATATATTGGCTTCTACCCAAAATAATCTTAGGTCTTTTACAGAACAAAAGCATATACCTTGAGAAAGGCTGTGAAGTTTGTAAGCCCCAAGAGTTTCTTCTTAAGTCATGACAAAATACAGTTTTCTTATTCACTATCTTCTTTGATGGAGAGATGAAGGAAAAACTGCACAAGCCCACACATTCTGATCCATGCATCCTTTATTCCATGACCAACCACTGTGCTGCATCCAAACAACAGAACACAAACTGGCAACCAACCGCAATCCAGTTGTACAACGATCTGAGGCTCACAGTACATTTAAGGCTTTTAAATTTGAAAAAAAAAAAATAATAATAATAATAATTAAAACCAAAGAACCCCCAGACCCAAACCCCCAACCAATACAAGTAGTGTAGCAATTTTAAGCATCTTACATTTCTGATGCTTATTTGGCGCAACTCCAGTGTCAAAACCCAAATAACTCCTAAACGAAAAAGATTAGTTTAGTGAAATTTTAATTACATAAATTCTTCAAAGCATAAACTTGAAATTTTTGTCTTGGAAATGTTATAAAACTTTTTAATAGCAAAACATAGGAATAAAAACATATTAACAAAATGTATTCAATCATTTACATTACAAACAAGGAATCTGCAGTTCATTGTAATAGCCTGACAAAAGAAAAACTACCCATTAAGAATCTATGCACAATGTAATTGCAAATATGTACAGTACTTTAAAAAAGCCTACAAGGAGGACTTTATAGAAGGAAAGTCGGCTAGGCTCTTTGTTAGACCAACCAATCAAAATATTAAAACTCTGTTGGCCAGTAATAAATTTACACTTAAAAAACCCCCAGTTTCCTTTTGTTTAAGAATATTCCAGTTATATTTATATGGTTACAGTTGATGAAACTGCTCATGATAGTTCCAGTAAATTACCCTTCAATTCATTTGTTTGGGGAAAGATCAGAATGTTAACAAAAATTAATAAAGGAATTTTCACCACCAGTTTTCCAGTTACACTATCACAGCTTCACAAATGGATTGAACCCATGGATCCAGTGGCTGAAAGAGAGCTGCATGTCAAATACTGAGAACATTAGTGAAGACAAGGTTGAGTCCTGCATGGATAAATCAGAAGTGATGGGTGAGGTTGAGAAACATGTGAGCACACTTAATATCGCACTAGAAAACTGTCCCCACATTCAGCTCTCATTCCCATTCCTGCAAAGCGATGAAGCTGGGAATCACGACTGTTCAATTTATCATGTTGTGTGAATTAGTAGAATCACCTCTAGATACAAAAGACTGAGATTTCATCAGCTCTTTGATTAGAACACCCTAAAGGTTGGGCACTTCTTCATGGTTATCAAGTCATTACAGCTATCCAGTTAAAGCATGTGCAAAACAGAGGACTCTGCTGTTCACAGTAAATGAGGTAAAATCAAGTGGTCGTCTTCAGGAATTAGGAAGTTCATGAGATATGAACTGTTTTAGTCTTTCTAGGTATTGTGCATAAAGCTCTATGTCATTATGCCCAGCCCCTTCCACCCAGAGGGGCTCCACGGCTCGGGGACAGCGCTCGTACATCGCTAAGCCATGGGAGAAATCGATGACCTCATCCTCTGTACCATGAATGACCAACACAGGAGAGGTGACTTTAGATATCTTGTCAATGCTGCAAAACAAAAGGGGTGGGGAGCGAAAAAAGGACTCCTTTAGTTACGTTCACATATAATATACATCACACTTAATGATAAGTGAATCAACACCCACAGGAAAGGATATTAATACTGCATCGCTGTTTTCTCTTTGTTTTTTTTTTTATTAAAGACTATTTTTTATAGCAATTTTAGGTCCACAGCAAAACTGAGAGGGAGGCATAGATATTTATTTCTCATAAACCCACTGCCCAATACATGCATGGCCTCCCCCATTATCAATATTTTCCACCAGAGTAGTATATTTGTTACAGTTGATGAACCTACACATCATGATGGTTTGGCTTTTTTCCCCCCTATTTTTTCTAGTAATTCATTTTTTCTTAAATAAATTTTTCATTTTGGAATAATTCTGGATTTACAGGAAAGCTACAAAGATAACAATACAGTTCCTATATACTCCTAATGCATTTCCTAACGTCATACATTAAGGTTAACATCATATGTGACCATGGTATATATGTCAAAACTAAGAAACCAATGCCAGTACATTACTATTAACTAAACATCGATGTCAGTAAATTACTATTAACTAAATTCAAGACTTTATTTGGATTTCACTAGTTTTTCCACTAATGTCTTTTTTCTGTTCCAGGGGCCAATCAAGAATACCACATTGCATTTAGCCATTGTGTTTTTGTTAAAGTATTTTATTAAAAACAGAACTCCTAAAAGCATCAGTAACTAACATTTTTGTTATTTTCCTACTTTTTGAAAGAGGATTTATTTATTTTTTTAAAAATAAACAGGCCAGAAATTAACATATCTGAATGAACATCTCTTTGCGAAGTTGGACACTTAATCCACCACCACTTAAGTTTTCAGAACTCTTTTTTTCAAGAGCTACCTTCACAATTGATTAACAAGATACAAACCCCATTTCATAAAAACTAATGGCTCATTTTTGGATAAAAACTGCACTACTTAGCTATTTGACTCTGAAAGACTTCTGATTGTTTACAGAAATCAAATCTACTATCAAAAGAATATTTGAGGATCTTCAAAATAATGTGCTTCAGACTCTGAAAGCATATCCCAAACAGTAACTCAAAGACTTTAAGCATTTGTTGGGCTGAGTATGTACGTGACTTCTCTGATGCGGCAACAGTCATTTAACCTCCAAATAAATCGAAAGAAACAAATCTCTTTCCAGTCTATCCTCCTCCCAAAGGCCCTCTTATAATTGACTTCTCTTTCCATATTTGATCCTAGTCAAAGTTACAAAAGGATACGAAATGGTACTATTTGTGGGAATCTTTTTGTTAAAAGTAGCAGCTAACGTTTATTAAACATTTACCATAGCTGGGTGCTTTGCACTTAACATATAAAATCTTGTTTAATCCTCAATGAAAGGCAACAAGAAAGAAATGACCAGCTCTGTTTTATCAAGGAGGGAATTGAAGCTCAGAAAGATTATTAAATAGCAGGCATGAGGTTGTGGAGATAACAAAGAGCTCTAACATCAATTACGCATCCCAAAGATCTACAACAACTGCCATAGAGCCTTTATTAACAGCTCATGAAGCTGCTGACCACTTCAAGACATCCCAGAAAAAGATTGCAAAACCTCATCAGTCATGTAATTTGCAAAGATCAGAGCCACTGTGGCAGTATTCAATTTTGCAGATTAGTAATCTTACTTGGGGGCCAGCCCCGTGGCGTGCTCGGGAGAGTGCGGCGCTCCCGCCGCAGGTTCGGATCCTATATAGGACTGGCCGGTGTGCTCACTGGCTGAGCGCGGTGCGGGCGACCCCACACCAAGGGTTGTGATCCCCTTACCGGTCACGAAAAAGACAAAAAAATAAAATAAAATAGTAATCTTACTTGGAAACCCATTTCTCCCCTATATTTTATTTTAAAGTAAATTCCTTTAAGAGAGTTCAATTACACTCAATTTAAATGATATTTACTTAGCAGTTATGATGGACCTTACATTATGCTCCATGCTGCACAATTTAAGAGAATCTCTACTGCCTAGAGAGTGTATTTGAAGTTAATGCCATTGTCTGATCATAATGTAAAGGAGGGTAAAAAAAAAAAAAAGGATTACAAATGAAATAATAATCAGAACTCCTTTTATTTTTTATTTTTTTAATATTAAAAGGAAATGTGAAAGTTATCTTCCTTTAAGGAAAGGAAGACAGAGATGCTCCTTCCATTTTGTAGGGATGGACATGAATAAGGAATGGTCTCTCTGCTATCTCCAATCACCAACCTTAATTAAGCAAATTACTTAACCTCTCTAAGCCTCAGTTTCCTAATCTGTAAAATGAGTACAGTAACTGGACCAACTTCTTAAGTCTGTTGTGAATGAAGATTAAGGGTTGTACATTAATGAAATGTACAACCTGATGCCTGGTGCATTAGACAAACTCAGCATAAGATTAGTTGTTAATTTGTTAATTAATAAGTTGGAATTAGTTATCATGGCTGTATTTTAAGGTATATGCTAATTTAAGAGCCAGGAAAAAACCTACTTGTTTCGTTGCCAGGGTAACTCCTGGCATGGCTTCCCATAAACATGCTAAATATCTGTCTTCTCAGAAACTGGCCTCTCATTACCAATTCGGCACAAATAAGGCCACACTTGAGATGCACATTAGCCCTACTTAGCATTCCCAGCCATGCTGCTAGAAATGTGCAGTGCAACTTTCCCATGAAGCTAAATCTCACTGAATCCTGGTATAAACTGCACAGAACTGAAGTTCACCCAAGGTGCTAACAGAAGGTTTCTTCCTGTGAAACAAGACAGTCTGTGTAACAGATGTTTATGCAACCGAATGATGTTCTTTTTTATTTTCTCCCAGCAATAGCAGAATGACAGCAATTAATGGGTCAATCAAAATCCTGAAACTGTACATTCTTTCTGCTGAGGCTTTCTCTATAAAATGGCAATGTGAGCTGGCCAGGGCTTTTGTAACAATCTCAGGCTGCTTTAGCAATGTACTGTGGGAAAAGTTCAGAGGGCAAAGACTTAATATGTTTATTAAAAATACTTTCCTCATCTTAGGGTAAAAAGAAAAAAAAGGAAAAACGCCCAAACAGAGGTATTCAAGAAACCAATGTGCTCACTGCTTTCATAGTTTCAGCACATTTTTCTTCCTTCTCTTAGTGAGAACTAAACAGCAGGGGTTAGGTTGGCAGCTGCTCTGCCGCCTCTAGCAGGCTGGCAGGAGGGTTCCCAGGCTGGCAGTGGGCTCTGGTTCTTCTGCTTCTCGTGATGGATGCAGACAGCTCTGCAGGGGACAAGGTCTTCTGGTTAAAGTGGGAGATGGGTTATTCACTTATACTGTCCCATGGCCAGTTACCAAAGATCAAAACCTGGCTCGTCGTGTAACTCACTTTACCTTTTTTATCCTATTTACAAAGATTAACTGAGTATGGCACCTTTTCCCTTACCTGTACTGGCTCAAAAATAAAGAGAAATTCCAGAACTGTGCTTGCTGGTGGTTTTTATCTGAGCTAGACAACTGCTCCTCGCCTCCTCACACACTCTGCACATAGCTTTCTGTGGCACGGAACTCTTACACTGCATGTAGCTATTTCGGATTCAACAATGCATGTCCCTCTGAGTGAACGAACAGACACTGAACTGTAAGCTCCTCTAGGATATGCGGGTGCTTTCTTTTTTAACCTGCATAGTACAGCTGAACCAATTAATCCCAGGTATCATGGCACTCAAGGTCCTTATACATCATCTGGGAGATTTTCACACACGAGTCAGGCCCGGGAGGATAAAGTCTCTGGATGTGTAAGTATCATATTGTCCACATCCCCTATGGCGCTCAGCGGGGTCTGACATATGCCTGCATTTAATAAATATTAATCAGTGGCACTGTCACTAATATATATTAGCGTATCACATTAATACAGTTCATGGCAGCATCAGATCTGAACTCGGATCACTGGCCAACTTAGCACATGCTGTACAACACTGAACTTACCTGGGGAAAGCATCAAAGCAGTATGTTTTCCTGGTATCTGGAAAAGCCACACGCAGACCAGACATCAGAGGGGAATGGAGAATGACCGCTGCGCACTCATACCGTGAGGCCAAGTCCACCGTGGGGACAGTCCCGATGCTCTGACCATAGAGGATAATGTTCTCAGGACTTACGCCATATCTGGAGAAATCAGAGGGTGCATGCCATTAGCTCATGTATGAAGTCAGAGTGAGAGTGAGGGGGGGGCCGAGAATATCTTAAACCCACAAAACTCCCACATCTACCAGCTTAAAACCATATCATTTAACTTGTAGGATTTAGCTTAAAATGAATGTGAACTTGACAAAAACAAATGTTAGGTGCCTATTTCAGTACTAAGCGACTAAGATTCTGTCTTCCACAACATTTTGCAAAAATAATGAACATGACATATTTTTCTGGCTAATTAATTAAATAAGTGCATTATAAATTTCACTGAAGTATTGACACAGTCATCTCACTTCCTATTATTCCCTCTTTATATTTTCTTTGATAATCACAGATGCATTTCTGAAGTAAAAACAAAAGCAGGTTTGGTAAACTGTAATATATTATTAAGACCTCTTTTCAAGTGGAATTTTAATGATATGAAAGATACTAACATTTATCAGAAAAAGGTTTACTGGGAGACAATGAATTTGAAGACAACTGTATTTTCTTTAGCCTATTCTTGGGCTAAACCCTTCCAAGTCTTTCAGTCCATCAACGGTCTCTGATTCATTCTCTTCCAATTCTTAGCTGGGTAAACAACTGTGGAATACAAGCTAATCCCAGCTTCCATTGCAGGTGGTTGTCCCTAGAGAACTAAGGCCTGGCCAACCGGATGTGAGCCGAAGTGACATGAGCTAACTGATCCCTGCATTAAAGGAACAGTGTGCTCTTCTTTTCCCTTCTCCCTTCCATTGGTGGGAAGTAGCCCGTGCAGAGCCATGCAGAAGAAGGCAGCACCCTAGATATGGTGGTGGAACAACATAAAAGGAGCCCAGGAAAACAGATGCTCTCTTATTAACCCACAAAGGAAATGCACAATATGTAAAGAGTGCTTAGAAATGAAGACAACTAGGCAAAAGAAATGACATAGCACAGAAGAAGACACATATATGCTCAACACACACAAACACACACACAAAGTGATGCTCAATCTTGGTAGTACATGAAGATGCAAATTAAATCCATGAGTCATTATTATATACCCTAGAGAGGGACAAAAATGAAAAAGTCAGATAATGCCAAGAGATGGCAAGAACATGGAAAAGTGAAACTCTGTTAACATTGCTGTAGGAATACAAATTGATACAAGTACTTGGGTAAACCATTTGACCTTATCTGGTAAAGCTGAAGCCTGTGAACTAGCAGTTACACTTTTTGGAATAAATACCTACTGTGGCTTACAGGGCAGTATGAAATGCTTCCTGACAACAGCCTTCAGTGAACAGAATACCAACCCATAGCTGAGGGGGATGGCAAGATTTCAATCTAACGCACCCCACCCCACCCCCCCACCCCCGCTCCATGAAACTCCACAGGAAAATGTGGGCCCTTAAGAGGACTTCAGGCAAGGAGTGGCTACTTCCAGCAGGCAAGCATTGGGATGTGCTTTTACAGAGCCAACATCTGGGCTCATCAGCCACGAAGGGTACAGGATCTGAACTCATGTAGACAGAAAGGGCTTTCTACTAGAGAAGCACGACATGCCCACAAGGCAGCAGAAGGAAAGCACAGGGCTGGGATAGAGCCCAGAGCAGCTCACTGGGGCTGCTGAGCCCAAGCAGAGCTGGGATGTCAGCAGGGATGGGGCTGGGAGAGCTTGAATGGGAAGCTAAAGGGTTAGAGCCTGTCCTAGAGAAGGTGAGGGGGCACTGGAGTGTCCAAGGGCAAGGTGAGAGGAACAGAGTTTAAGAAGCTTCATCTTTAGGGACATGCAGGAGAGATGACAGATGCATGGAAAGGAAGCAGGGAGATCAGGTAAAGGACTCTTCAGACTCCTAAAGGGAAGAGGAATGAAAGATTATAAAAGATTTAAAAACAGGATCCACTCTCTATTTCTAAAGTGAAGTATCTGTGTGGCCCTGGGACCTGACACCATCTAATAAAACTGTGCTATGGAAGAGTGTCCTAAGACATAGGTTTTGCCTGGTGTTCTTGTCTGGGGTTTCATTTCCTTTGGAAGAACAGGTCATTAAAAAAGTTGGCAAAAGGAGTTTGGGTGGTGAGATTTGAGGAAGGAATTCACGCAGCAGCATCCTGTGCCCGAAATCCTTATGTGAGAGGCATGGACTTTAAAGTCCTCACTGAGGACTAAACGGTGAGCAGTGTCAGAAAGGAACACTGCGTTCATGGTCAGCATGCCAGAGCACAGGACATTACCCTAGGGAGGTCCCCAACTGCAACTGCCACAAGCTCTTTCCTTAATGGACTGGGAGGGTAGTCTCAGCAGGAGTTTTTAATCTAGAATTCAGGGACCCTTTGGGGGAGAACGTAAATAATACTAGGGGTCTCTTCCTCCCTCACAATATTCGTCAGATTTTCAAAGTGGCCTACAACCCCCAAAAGCATAAGGGCCACTGGATCCTGCACTGGGGGAGTCAGCAGACACCTGGAGAGAAGAGAGTCCCCAATTTCCACATTGAGGGTGGGGGGTCTTTCCAAAACTGCCACTCCTGTGGCAGGCAGTAAATTTTGCTATCAATTATTTAAAAAATTATAAATCAAAGAAAATATAAGAGGAGGAGGAGGAAATGAAAATCGAAGGCAGTTAATGAATGAAGGACAGAAGATTAAGAGATGATTAATGGCATCAGACCCTACCTTCACTGATCCAATCTGAAGAACTGTGAGAGTTGCATGGGATAACACAGCATGGTCACAAGGAAGTGGTGATTTCCCTTTTTATTACTATAGTCAAACAAAGTTTTCAAAATCCTGACTCTGCCTTCCACTCTACACACCATGAGACTTTACGAGCTTGGGCTTACACTGAATAAGGATAGAAACGGGCACAGGCCCAAGAGGCACAGCCTGCCAGATAGGGCAGAGGGGAGTGCTGTGGTTACTCACACATGCAGCCTTTTTCTGTTCTGAGCATCCTGAACCAGTCCATCCTCGGAGATCAGAATCTCCTTAGGCCTTACAGAGAATCTGGGGACTATCTCACCTGGGACCGTCAACTCTTAGTGTTCCATTCATGGGCACCAGGACACACCCAGTACCAGTCTCTACAAATTCTACATTTGATTCCACCAGACTCGTATCCTTCATGATAACCAATGCTTTGTAATTCAGAGTTTTCACAGGCAAACCTCCCCAGGTAAAACACAAAAAGCACTAGCCACAAAGGAAAATACTGGCAAACTGTAACACGTTCAAATGAAGAAGTTCTGGTCAACAGAGGACACCATTAATAAAGTGAAAGTGTGAGTCACCAAGTGGGAAAAGGCACCTGCCACATGTATTACTGTTAAAGGTCTCATATAAAGAACAGGTAAAGACTACCGCAAATCAATAAGACTAACAACCCAACATGAAAAATGGACATTTACAAAATGGGCGTTTCATAAGAGAGATCAAATGGCAAAGAAAGAAGAGAGGGAGGGAGGAGGAAGGAAAGCATAGTTAGCAATCGAAGTCATGGGGTTGAGTGAGATCATCTGGAGAGAAAATGCAGGAAGACTACAGCTTGGGGAAGGTGAGCCAGTGAAGGGACCAAGCTCGTGTGGGGCGGGGACGGGAGGAGCAACTCCGAGTGACTCCGTGTCTCAGAGGCCAAGAAACGGATTTCAAGAAGAAAGCCATCGTTCTCACTGTAAAACACACAGGAGAAGTTGAACTGGATGAGAAGCAAAAGGTGGCGGGTTAGGGACTTCGGGCTGAGTAGGTGGGAAGTGGAGGTGAGAGATGCGGCTGTAGCTTACCGCACGGAGCACTGATGCAGACGGGACTTCCTTAGAGTCAGGGGCTGGGACATGTGTGTAGCCCCGAGAGAAGACTGAAATTCTGTGGAGACGGGGGAGGGGATTCTTAAAGTTCTGGGAGGGCTGGGAATGTGGGGCTCAAGTGGAAGGTTAGCCCTGGTGCGATGAAGCAGCAATTCTCCCCAAAATGCCAGGGAGGTAAAATGGAAGGAGAACGGCCAGACCTGCGACCACAGAGGCCTGGCCTCCAGCCTGGCGGTCACCCTGCAGTGTCTGCCTGTGTACTGGGAGAACACACTTTTGAAAGACAGCCTGAGGGACTGAAAACACTGAAGACACACTGTGTGTAGGCCTCTGCTGGTACTTCTCCTGTCCGCCTGCATCTTGCCCACAGAGGTGATGCTTGCTAGGAGGAATCGCTTTTGGTCTTTTGCCATTGTGATGCCCCTCCCTAAAAATAGCAAATCATAATTAAAAATGCAAAAAAAAATCCTGCATGAACATGTCTTCTACTTTATCTATATTGTTTCTGGCTGCTATGAAGCTACTGTCTTGTTCCAAATTGGTAGGGTTTAACTTCTTTTTTGTTTCAGAATAAAGGTTTTGGACTTTGGGACTGTTCATGTTTTTTAGAAAATACTTTTTTCACTTGATACTGCTATCTTTTATTTTTAAGCTATGATCTTAAAATGCCCTATTTTTACACCAAACCAGGCAGCCCTTACACAAACTTAGAAAGTATTCACTCTCTCCCCCGCCCCCATCTTTTAATTTAATTTGAGAACTAAAGGCACCTTAGGATTGGGTCCAACCTGATCAATATCAATCAGCGTTTACTTTGAAGAATCCATAAACCCACTGGATCAGAATTTGTTAAGTGTGAATTTACACTTAAAAAATAAATAGTAATAACTTCTCAAGTAATTCAGATACTTATTACAGAACATTGGTATAGAGGTCACCAGTCTTCTACTTTGATGGGGGAAAAAAATCTCAGTGGTACTGTGAAAACAACACACTTTATCATCCTCATCTGCAAAAGAAAGGTGTTGGAATAGACGCCTCTTACAATCCTACTAACAATCTTTGATACTTTCAAAGGATTACCTGCCTCCCTGCCCCATCTTTACACCTCCCCAGCTCCTCATCTGTTGTCAGACAGCATAGTAAAGACAGGAGAAAGCAGAGGAAAAGTCCCTCAAGCAGTACCGACAAGTCTGAATATTTGAC